CAATGCTGGGAAGGAAATTGCCAACTCGTCCGGGCGCGTGTAAGATTGGCTTGCGCTTGTAAGTTTAAGAGCAGTTTTCTTAGCAGGGAAGGGCATGCTGTGCAACCGGATTGTACTGTTTTCATACTTGGACGATAAGGAACCTACTGCGTTAAAATCATGCGCTGTTGAGTTTTGCCGATTCACTGCCTTTGAAAGATTCGGATCCGAATTAGTTCAATTGCACACTTAACTTACATTATCCTATGGACTTGGTTTCTTGATGAATTGACTGCCATGTAAGCATGACTTTCGCAGGAGTCATCAATTATTTCATACTCGCTTAAATCATTTCTTGCAGGAAGGACACATCTCTAGAATTTTTAAATGGCGCTACCGTGCCAAATGACTCCAACAGACCAACGTCCAAGTGACCAAATCTTTGGTGATCCCGCCGAAAACCCCCCGTGGCAACATAAGAGCCTGCTTTCAAAAAATGTACACATGTAATCAACATATCCGATAACTTTGTTTCATGAAGTTTCGCAGAAGTCAAGGTACTCAATTTTTGGGGACAGTTTATTGGAATCCTAAACCTTTACTTACCCTTACGGCTGTGTAATGTCCATGCTTTTTGCAATTTCTCGCAGTGCAAACAGAGAGTAATTTGCATGAAAAAATGTTGGCTATTCATGTTCCAAGTGTGTCAGAACGCATAACTTGTTTTCCCTTCTGACTGGATTTCTGCACTCCGACATACCGTTGAGGGGAATAGGAGGAGCTAAAGACGACATCTGGAAATGATATTAATGAATGACGAATGCAAAAAAAAGCGGAAACGCAGAGGAGATTTCGAAATTCATTGATTAGGTCAATTGCGTTTGAACTTTGGACCAGGCCAAGTTATGCAATGAGGCCTGTTTTGCTATCCAGCTTGCAACGAATTCCAAGCGAGGGTTATTGCAAGTTGGTAGCTTTAACAATGGCATGAAAGAAGCTAATTAAAATAAATCAAGTGAACTAGCGAAAGTATTGCATTTTTAATTGCAGAAGTAAAGCAGAAGTATTCGAAGCCTTAGCAGGAAATCGTCCAACAACGGAAATTGTATAACAGCCGGAAATCTCCAAAGTTTGTCAAGTTTGCAACAAGTTTGAAACTCTCTAAGCACATCGATCTTGCCCTCAAGACTGAGGAGCTTTTGGAGCACTTGTGGTTTGAAACAGTGCATCAGTAGATTTCAGGCTTTGTCTAAAATCTTTGCGACATTCGGCAAACAAAATTTGAAGTTTAAAGCAAGTCATTCAACTAACATGCACGAAAGCAAAAGGGGACGAAATTAGTTCGGTGATCAGCTGCATCGGCATTCCCTTATGATACGATACGTTAAAACCGCTATTGTCATTGCAGGTAGATATACGTGATCGCAGCTCGGTAAAAGACGAGCGGAGCTGCAAATAAAAGAAATAATCAAGGATACATAACGAACACAGTGATAAGGGCATGAGGACATACGATGGAACGACAATCAAGCAACCATGACAAAATAGGAGACAAAATAGGCGTTGTATGCTCATCAAGTGCTGAGCAGTCTTTGCCAGAATATTTTCATCAAACGGGGAAAGGCACTTGAGTCGGCCTTTTGCAAAGCGATCATATATTCGAAATCAGCTTTGAAACGCTGAATTTAAACTGTCCATAGCTACGAAGCGTTTTTCTGAGCAGAGTTATGAGAGTCTTTCCTTGCAAAATTTGCCATTTTCCCACTGATTTTACGGTATCAACATTCAGGTGGTAGTGCAACTGCATAATGCTCTCTATCAGCACCAAAGGACCAGACTTAATGTTATTTCAAATCCCAGCATCTTTCCCATGCAGATAGGGTATTCCCTATTTAGTAGTGCGTCATTCCAAGAGTAGCGTTTTGCAGCTAGGAACACCAATTTGGAATCGGGGTTACAAGCTGATTCCAAATATTAGGTTGAACCGAAAGTTCTTTCGCATCATTTCCAAAAATTCATGAATTCCAGAGTGGTAGTAATTTGGTCGAAACCATCATGTCAACTGCATTTTCATGACACCAGCTAACCAGCAGCTTCGCATCATCTTCCCAAAGAAGCCACGAGCTAACCGATGGGAAACCTCGAAATAGGCTATCTTGCAAAGCAAAGTTACTGGAGGAGATTGAAACTCCAACCATTCTCATGCTTGTCCGCAATCATTGCACCTCACCAAAATTGTTAAGTGTGAAGCTTTCCATTCTTTCATAATGATTATTCCTTATTGAGCAGCTACACAGTAAACTTTCGAAGTAAATTATCGAATGAACTTCTTGCCGGTAGCCAAGAGCTTTTCATTCGAAAGCTTATATTAGCAATATGTCGTCAGGAAATAATGGTGCGTTATCCAGTTTAGCATGCGATGTCAGGAAATATTGCTGAAGATATATTGCACATGTGAACGCGGTTGCTGCGCCTCGTAGGCGCCACAGAAATATTGATTACTAGCTGGCTTACCCGGCTCCGCCGTATCCGGACCAAACATGACACACATACACTTCGGGCCCCGGCGGGTGTCACAGTCCACTTTTCGTTATCGATCGATGTCGATTTTACCGATTTTATCGATTTTTTTGTAAAGTTTGACCTGCGGGGCTGGGAGTTTGCACAGGGGGGGGGGGTAATCGAGCATGCAGATTACGAATACAATATTAGTTTTCAAGATCGTCCATTACTTTTATCGATTTTATCGATTTTTTTTGCAAAGTTTGAGCTAGGGGGCTGGGAGTTGGCACAGGGGGGTAATCGAGCATGCTGATCATCCCCAAGGGGGGTGATCAGCATGCTCGATTACACCCCTGTGCCAAATTCCAGCCCCCTAGCTCAAACTTTGCAAAAAATCGATAAAATCGATAAAATCGATATCGATCGATGACGAAAAGTAGCCTATGACACCCGCCGGGGCCCGAAGTGTATGTGTGCCAAGTTTGGTCCGGATCGGTTCAGAAATGAAATTTTCTCTTCGGAACATACGTACATACATACAGACATACATACAGACAGACAAACAGACATTCAGCTTTATATATAAGATGTTTGCAGTGATCCATGCGAGGACTTTGACTACACTGCCTCCGGGTAGCAGAGCCAGATCTCGACAGTTCGGACTCCGACTGCCGTGCCCGACATGGCCAAAATCGCCATCAGAAGCAACTAAAATTTTATGAATCACCGGATTGGCGCTTTCGCCTGTCCAGGCAATTGTAAACAAGGCCCAGCAGCGAGTCGGAGGAAATACCGCCGCTTGAGTCGATTGTAATTCAAAAACGTATAACCCACTGTGCATTACATTCATCTGGCGTCAGTAGCACAATAGAATAATTATTTGACATTACTTTAGTGCTTTACGTGTTAACACGATGTGAAACCGACACATCATTGTTTCAAACGAAAAGTGGTCGGGGGTACTTTTTCATTTTGAACCATGATATGGTGGTTTCACGTCTGCGTCTCATGAATTGGAACGCTATTTTTATTACTCTACCAAAGAAAAATGGTGTTAACCTGCTGATTAATTCATGGTTTGGTTTAGAATGAAACAAGCATGGAACAAGTATGGTTTTCTGATATTTACTTGCTTGTTTCATCTATTTATATATAAAACTCAAAAATTGTCAGTTTGGAGAGTATGTGCGTTATAGAAACGCGCGCCGCTCAACCGATTCAGCTGAAACTTTGCACACACATGTTTTCGACCCTTGCGCAAATGATAGGCTACTTTTTGTGGCGATTCGTTGGGTCCTTCTATCGATTTATTGATTCGTTTACATTTTCCTAAGAAATTGAAAGTTTATCATGTTCAATTAAGCATTTTCCATACTCATGTAAAGAAGGGCGGTGAAGCTCATTTTCACCTCAGGATCACGAGGATGCGGTTTCCAAGCGGATGTCCCAGGGTAAGTCACCCATACCATATGCGGCGGGGGTGGGGGGGGGGGGGGCTCGCAGTGCGGTGAACCATGGCCCGGGCTGGACCGGGAAAGCCAACTAGTAATTTTATATGACCGATTGGACTGAACGGCCGTAAGAAGATGACACGCTAACCACAATGTAATCATGATTGAACCATCACGTCATTCATTGGTTTCGGCCAAATTACTACCACTTAAGTAAAATTAGTCAAAATTCTTCTGTGTAGGGTCATAAAAAATCGGAAACTTGCAACAAAGATCGGAGAGCAGTCGGTATTGTAAGTTCTTTCACCAGCTCTTTCTAACAGTGCAAAGCTTGTGCTGATTGAAGGTTTCTATCGAAAGTTCATTGCCGACCAAATCGCGCTTTGCGGACCAATTTGGGCGCAAATTGCTGAGCGTAGAAGGCATCCGCATCGAGTCTGACGTAAGGCGGGAGTCCTTTCAATTGTGGTATATATGGGGAGACCTGCACTTTCCCAGTTTTGGTGAGACACTGCCTTTAAGGCGCATTTTCCAGCTTTGTATATGACCCTAATGATCCGAAGGGGAACGACTTTTCTTCAGGGTCATTCTTCTTGTTTACTCAATGAAAACGTTTCAAAGCGTCACTGATCATCTAATTCTACCGTTAAGCGTGTTTCTGATAGAGAACAAATGATGCACCAAAACGATGAAAATTTTGATGAACCACAGTTAAAAATTGAAGCTGTTGGAAGACTCAAGAGCCTAATAACTCATTTGTACTCATCAAAACTATACTTAACAATTAAACTATACTTAACAATTCTATTTAGATGATCAGTGCAATTTTGAGATATTTTCATTGATTTCAAGCAAGAAGACTTTGAAGAGAAACGTACAACGGGATTACCGCACCATACAAAAAGCTGAAAAATGCAGCTCAAACAATCAGAATTTCGGAGCTACAACTTAAGAACAAATCTGCTTATAAGAGTAGTTCACAGATATAAGGAAACATTGTCAAGCCCTTAACATGGCCTTCAATACAAAACCGCTGCGCTGGTAATAGTCTCAATACTTTGAATTCAGGTACCAGGAGTACTTGGCACAGAAGGACAAGTACCTCTGCAATCCCTTACACTAAATAAAACCAGCACACAGCGTTCTGAAATGGTGCAAGGAGAGCAGTTGGAGGTGACCATTTTTTATTCTCTTGCCACAAGTGACCTTTCAATATATGGATATTGCTATGAGTACTGTTTCCAGCTCTAAAAGCATAATGTTGAGACTGAAATTCGAAATAGCTTTGCATTGTTCAAAAGTTTAATGCTTAGGTAACTGTTTGTTGCTGATTCAGCTCAAATCTGCTTTCTTTTTCTGCGAAACAACTCAACTATGAGTGTTTGAGAGCTCAAACTTGTCAGACTAGAAGTGACACAAAATTAGTGAGACGAGTTCAATTACAGCTGAAAGTAGTCAATTATACTGACTACTAGCTGGCATACCTGGCACCGACGAACGGCCCTGTCAATATACTTGATAAACGTCAACAATCCCTACAATCGTCAACAATCTGCACACCTTTTCCTGTCCCTGTCCCACTTCCAGTGCCAGTTCCCTGCTTTCAGTATGCTTTCCTGACCACCATGCTTACATAACTCCTATGTTAATTTCCAGCTCCGCGGCTCAAACTTTGAAGATGAAACGATAAAATAAAAGTTATGCATGCATGCCCCTCCCGGGCCGATTCCCAGCCCCTTGTTCAAATTGGAAAAAAATTGGTAAAACCGATAGAGGTAATGGGTACTTTTGAAAACGGTTATTTTACTCGTAATCAGCATGCTCACTTATCTCCCTGTGCCAACTCCCAGCTCTGTAGCCCAAAGTTGCAAAATCGCTAAAATCGATCAACGTAATCTCCTAGAGACGAATATTTTGTTCGTAATCAGCATGCTGACTCACCCCCGGGGCCAACTCCCACCCCCATAAATCGAAGTTTGCAAAAAAACAATAAAATCGATGTCGACCGATAACGAAAAGTAGCCTACCACACCAACCCCGTTTCAAAATGTATGCGTGCAAAGTTTGGTTCGAATCAGTTCAGGAGCCTGTCATTCTTCGCCGAAAAAAACCAAAACCGGAAAAAGCCCTAAAGCGCCAGAAAGAGCCGGAACGCCCCCTTCCGTTTTGGAGCTAAAACAAGGTGTTGGTTTCGCAAATGAGTCTTTTTGCTTCATTTTCTGTGGTCTGCACATCAAAATAACGTCAAAATTTGACCATAATTTCGTTTCTGCGTTCCGGCTCTTTCGGGAATCTACAGGTTTTTTTGGGCTTTTTCAGGCTTTCTTTTCGGCTTTTTCGGGCTTTTACAGGCCTTGGGCTCTTTCGGGCTTTTTGGGCTTTTTCGGTTTTTTCGTGCTTTTTTGAGCGCTTTTGGGCTTTTTTCGGCGAAGTATGACGGGTCTTCAGAAATGGAATTTTCTGTTTTGAGCATACAAGCAGACAGACACAGACTGCAGCTATATACCCTCTTTTCCAGCTTACAAGCCTCACTTTATAGAAGCTGCACCCACAGCAGCGAACAGTGGCGCTTAAACGCGCTCTACAAAGTGTTTTTAATCAAACAAATTGAAGAATAGGTGCATTTTTTGACTGCTCTTCTATGCAAGATGATTGATATGATTGCGACGGCGTGAATTGTGAGCAAGATCTGCTTTTTACTCTCTAAAAATGAAGAGCGTCTTCCGATAGTCTTTTCTTGTTCGTTCGTATAAGAATGATTAGAAAGAACAATTGCGCGTGTTCAATCAGAGCTTCGCGTTTATCATGCATTGACGGCGAACTGTCAACCTTAGTGTAAATTGAAGGCATTGATTCGGCAAATGGACCCTTCTCGGATTTTGGTGGTGTTGGTTAGTAGACTCCCCTACACTGTAGCCCAAACCTTACCCACCAAGTCGTGCGCTAGATCCTGAAAAATGCCTTTTCAAAAGTCAACGATGGATTCCATGGACCGCGAAGATATTTTCGGCTCTTCTCCTCCCTAGATATCCTGCCGCCTGCTCTCTCCGTTTTCCCCCTATCTTTTAACATTTATCTTTCCAGCTGGCATAAACGGAGATATGTATAGCTTTAGCATTTGCGATAAGTTAGCGCAAACCCAAAAAACTCCACTTTTCATCTTACAAAATAAGAACACTTGGTGCCCGTGGATTTTCGAAGTGGAAGGTATACCATTAACAGCTTGAAGCGCGGATTCCAAATCTGCTTTCGGTATCTTGCGTGCGCTCCCTAAGGAAGTTATGGGCGTTTTTCGCCACCAAATTTTGGCGATCGCCAATCGTTAATATCGCTGTACTTTACATACCTATTGATCGCTAACAAGTTACCACATGTCCAATCGATACGCATCCAACCTGGAGTCGCCAATATCGGCGACAAAAATCGCCGGTTTCACACGTATCTCATGCGTATTGAACGTCGCCATGCTATACTCCTCGAGGAGTAAAGCGCCTGCCTTAGCGCAGTCATTATGACATGTTAATCTCTCATTAGTTTAGCATCTGTCTACTCGGACTGAAAGTCGTTCACATGCAACTCAACGAACCAAAACTTTGCTTGAGGTAAGTGATGTCACTTGCTCTCCGATAATACTGGAGACTGTTTAGGGCACTTTGCCACTAGCACCCACAATTAGAGTAAACGAGTAGCGACGAATGAAACAGTGAAGCCCACATAAGCAAAAGAGCGTACAACAGTCTAATATCATTCATTTAAATAAAAATTTTGCGCGTATGGTAGGATCTTGAAGGAACTTCGAAGTTCTAAATAATTGTGCTCTAGGGTGTGTGTTTTACGAATTCACCAAAACACAGTTCTGTAATCTTTTGGGCGAAACACTTATGAAATGCAGGGAAAAATTTTGATAAACTTGTATAATGAATTTTCCTCCAAAGGCAGCTACGGGCTGAAGTATGTACCATAAGCAATGGTCATAAGCAGAATCGAGAAGGTTTAGTGGTAGTAAGCGCTACAAGCTGCTCGCCATTTTATATTGCTGAGAGGGTGCTGAAAGATTTTCATAAGCAAAACTTGCTCGAACAAGAAGAATCTTTGCTGTCTTTAAAGTCAACGCTTACGCTAACAGTGATGCTTGATTTTTGATCCGGAGCTTAACAAGGGACCTCAGCGAAGTGGATAAACACAATTATGGTAAGTATTAGGTTTAACACTAAGTTATGCAACTGGTTTCATAACTTCATTCTCATTCAACGTGGCGCGCTCAAACTTTGGCTTTATGTAGAATGCAATGTGAGCTACAAGTGAGCACAAATTGTCTAAATTTTGAACACGAAATAGAAAAGTTCCAGGCCTTTTTCAAAAACTAGTGAAATTTGAGAATTTTTGGGGTTTCAAGCTAAAATGAAGCCTTTAGCAGCCTAGACCATGCGCAGTAATCCCGATTCGTCTAGAAATTATTGCTGGAGGGTTGACTCCTTTGGACTATTAGGCAAGAAACAAAATTTAGGGGCATGTCGAAATTTGGCGTCCTCACAAAGTCGAACGAGTCGGTGTACGCAAGAGCTGCTGGAGACGACCGTCAATGACCAAAGAGTCCGAAGCTCAAATTCCGCCCAGACTTCACATAGTAAGGTTATTTGACCTGCCAAACGCGAATATCATATTCATTTGTTGAATCAACGCCATTTTTCTTGTTTAGGGCAAGACCCCATATCGTACACTTACAGTAATCTCACAAAAAAAGCCCTTATCACGAATTTTACTATCGTTTTCGTGATCAGCATGTCGGATAACACCCCTATGATAAGTTTCAGCCAAATCCGTCAAACTTTGAATTTTTCCCCTTCATACCATGCACCTACCGCAATCCTTACTGCGACGTCAGAATTTGGTAGGACAGCAGCTGACTTGTAGCTTACGTAATAACGAACACAGTGGCAAAATCTGGGTGCACCATGTTGAGTGAGAGAAGTTATGAGATCAGTTGCAAAACTTGGTGTTCAACCTAATAAATAGACAATGCTCGCATTCAAGTAGATTTTCCGCTTCACATATTGTGCTTGCACTGCAAGTAAAATGCCGGTGAAATCCGCACGTGAAGAAACAGCTAGAAATGCCTGTGACGTCGGCCAAATGCGCGCGAGCGCAACACTTGCGTGGCTGTTTATTCAAGCGCAAACTTTACCGCATGTTACCTGCAGTACAAGCACACTATATAAAGTGTGCTAAATCTACTCGGCTGTAGTCCATAAATTATGGAATAGATGTAGTAATAGCTGTAACAAAGTTGACTACGTTATTCATCTAGCAAACACTCTTCTATGCTGGCCCACATTTTGAAAGCATGATACTGCATGATATGACACCGGGGAAAACTGTGCTTCTATCCGCTTTACTGTCCCGTCCACAAATGTACACGAGCTGTAAGTTTGTAGCAGAAGAATACTACGGCAAGTATGATAACGACAACCTGCTTCCCATTCCTACATTTCAATCAACAAATAATTCATGAATGTTTATATTTTAACAGAATCAAATTCGAGTCACTGTTTCAAAGTATATCGTACAACCAAATAAAAATTACATGAGACCATTCTAACTTATACGTCTAACCGTATGTTGCGCAAGGATTGCACGGTCTCGGTGGAGGTGGCGGAGCGCAAGGGTTACACCGCGGTGGCGGTGGTAGTGGTGGAGGAGGTGGTGGAGGTGGAGGTGGGGGTGGTGGCGGAGGTTTTGGAGGACAAGGTGGCGGTGGAGGTGGAGGAGGTGGTGGAGGTGGTGGCGGTGGTGGAGGTGGTGGAGGTGGAGGAGGTGGCGGTGGTGGCGGTGGCGGTGGAGGTGGTGGAGGTGGAGGAGGTGGCGGTGGTGGAGGTGGTGGCGGTGGATACCACCACCAGGGCGGTGGCGGTGGCGGAAATGGTGGAGGAGGAGGAAAACGATGTCGCCACCAGCGACGTGGCGGAGGAAGTGGCGGCAAAGGCTCACATTCCGATATGCATGGCTTTGCCTCTATAGTCTCCAAATACAGAATGGGTAGAAGCCACGCCAAGAAATAGATAAACCTCATCCTGAAACATCCTATTGTTATTCTCCATTTACTGCTTAATGAACTCTCTGCGCAGAACAACGAAAAAATCAAAATTCAAACCAAATAAATACTGATTAAATAAGACTAACAATGGCAAACAAAAAGTGTCACTTTCAAATGAAATACCACCACCACAGCTTTGAACAAGTTATGTAATCTGTGATTGTTGACTTCGTCATTATGTTATGTTGTCAAATTACAATAGTCCTTAACCTTTGGAGACGTCGTCGCTACATTACTCATTACTCATTTTGAAAACGCGAATATGTTTCTTATCCTTTTATGAGCTGGACTGATTATAACAATGCATTGTAACGGATTATTTATGGTGTATCTTTTGATGGCATAACAGAATTATGGAAGATCCTAATATCTTAATAGCAACGCCGTTTTGACTCGGATTCATCAGTGAAATCTCATTTTCTTGAGCTTAGATTTAGTTTAAAAAAACCCTTCGCATAGCTACTTCATCCACATTTTTGATTTTTTCTGATCATTTGAGGCTTCTTTGGTGCAGCCATTATCTTGAGAGTGCTAGAAATCCCACAATTGTGCAAATGTCTTGTAAATAAAAAATCGTTGTTCATATTGTGGGACTGGCATCAACGCTTTTTTGGTGTTCCTTATGCCTGATAAGGCATCTAACGCCAGAACTTGTGCCATGGACCGGAATTACAGGAATTTACAGCAATTCATTCTTTTCCATACTCTCACGATTGAGACATAGCTTATGGAACAGCTTGTTTAGAAAAATTCTGTGAATTTCCATTTGTCTTTCGATTGATAAAGAGTTCAGGTTTCTTACAGAAAACTTAGGCATTTGCGACAGGGGTGAGTTACCTAAATTTGATAGTATCGACCTATTCGTTATGTTGGTATGGTCTTGAAATTTCAACAAATGAGCATCAGAGTGTCTAACAAGCGTAACAATATGTTTGATGGTTATACTAAAACACCAAGACATGTTGTTTCTGATGTGCTTGCAAATGCCCTACGCGTCCTAGGGTACATCGCTAATCAAAGTTATTTCTCTATATATCCATTAATCGACATAATCGGAAAACTCAAGATAAGCGAAGCAACGGTATTTTATCACTACATAAGCAAAAGCTTTGGGTCCCATAGTTTTGGTGGTGGCGGCAGGTTGGGAGGACCTGGTCCAATTCCACTCGGTTACCTGGAGGGGGTAAACTGCCGATCGCCGGGAACGCATTTAGAAGTACTAAGAAAAACGGGTGCAGATGTTGTTGTCATTCTGCAATGGTCCCAAAACTGCAGAGAACGGGATCAACAAAGTCATGTATCGGTGGCGATCCCAGAAATTTATGGGGGGGGGGGGGGGCAAACTTTTTTCTAAGGGAAACCGCAGCATTAGCCAGGTACTCATAGGGACTTCGTGAGATAAAAATTTTGCGGACACCGTTTCCGAAAATCTGGAAAAAGGAGTGTGGCGGCAGCCGCGATCCGGAAAACAATTTTTTTACAACTTTATCTAAATTATCGAAAATCTTTAAAATTATTTCGTCTATTTACATGAAAACAAGCCATTTGCACAATGCGGAAGCCCATGTAAGTATCTGTTAGAAGTCCAGAACATTTTTGGCATGCAGTTGCTTTCCAAATATGCGAGGTAATTTTAAGTGTCCTCCATTAACAAAAGCTGAAGAATTTCGCATCTTAAAAAGACAAAGGAAATTGAAATTAAATTATAGCTCATCGAACACGACGAGCATGAAATAGTGGTAAAGTTTAAATCGATGCTTTTTGGTTCTTCACTTCCTCAATAACGAGCAACAGAAACATATCGCCATTACAAACACTTCAACAGAACCAATCAACATAGTAATGATAACGTTTGTTATTGCAAGTGTTCATCATTACTGTACCTTTGTTGCACATTATGTGTTGCTTCGAAAATATCGTACGCTGTGGGGAAAGACCCAAACATTGCCTTTTCTGTAGTTGAAACTATTAGGTTCATGCAAAAGTAATGGCCGAATTGCGAACTCTCACTTTGACCTGCTATAACTTTCTAAAAGATCCACATTTCAATATTCGGTAAAAACCTCCAGAAACAGCAAACCTTTTGCAATACAGCGCATAGTCATTTATACCCAAACCTTAAATGGAAAGAGAAATACGGACTAAAAGACAAAAAAGGTTCTTCTGCTAGAACCTTGTTTTTGACAATTCATAACTTCTTTCAAAGTTTCTTAGTATGAATGATAAGTGGCCTATCTTGTAGCCGCAAGCCAGTAGTACAAAATACACTAGAAAGAATTCGGACAAAGAAGTTTGCGAGAGTGAAACAAATTGAATTCAAAATTTCTCAGTTTTTTCAACATTTTTTTCAGTGTGCCTCAAAATCCGGAATATAGAATTTTCTGATTTTCTGCGTACTGAACAGCTGGATGTTTTTGCAAAAACTGCTAATAAATGTCCTAGCCCTACGCTTACAGAATTGAGCAAAGCTTCGGCGACTGATTTCCTCAGAAGAAAATTATGGGTCAAAAGTGACCACAACAGCTACTCATGTTTAGGCGCCGATATCTCAGTCTGAATAAATTCAAAGAATACAGTTAAGTTATGCGTAATGTA